ACTAAACGAGAAGGCCCTGCTGTTGAGGTGTGTTCGCTGGCACACAATCCAAGCCCATGCTGAAAAAAGGGGACCTCAGGGTTATGATTATGTGTTTCATGATAAGAATGGGTTTAGGGTTTAGGGTTTAGGGTTTAGGGTTTAGGGTGCAGTGGAAGCTCCTATTCCGAGGTGTAAGGGAGCTTTCGGTTGAAGGACTCCTTGGGGCGTATCGGTGCGGCACGCGAAGGCTTCGGGTTTAGAGCTCAGGATCTTGGGTATAGGCTTTAGGACCACTTTAGGATATGGCTTAGGAGCTATAGGACCGGGAGTTGCAAATGCAGAGAGTCGTTCTTGCATTTGGGTACTTGATGTATTAGTTGTCGTTATTGTTGTAATTCAATGCTATTAACTCGTCAGATTAGATGTGTGTATACACGTACATGCGAACATACATACGTACATATACATACATATATCTGTATATCTATATATCTACCTATCTCTATATCTATGGATATATGTTTGGTTGTGGGTGTGCTGGTTGGTTTTATGTCTTCCTATCTTTATCTACTTGCTGTGCATATTTATACGGGGTATAGACACAACACGCATATGATTCGGGTTTGCATCAGTTGACATGCAGTTTGAAGTGTATTTCGAGCTATGGTGTATACTACAGAAATAGAAGACATGGCACCACATGTGCGCGCACGCACACACGTTAGGAGACTTCTAAAAACTATGCTTCAAGGAGGTTTCGACCAACATATGCCCAGTCCCTCATACATGTTCATTGCATAAAATATAAACCGTCTTAGCTACCAGTAGCAGAGGACGCTCAGCAATTCTACATGCAATATGTGCATGCATGTGTGCTGTAGGACCCAGTGCAGCATATACTTACCAGAACAACCCAAGTTCATGAGCACAGTTGACTGCGCGACGTATAGCCATAAAGAAGCACGCGCAGATATACATACTCATTACGTACCTATACATGCATGCATATATATATATATAGACTGATTTAGTTGCTTAGTCATATTGATACACACCATATAGAACACGGTGAAAAGAGATGCCACCGTCCTTAAAGCCTGTAAATTCAATATCAGCCAACATCCCGACATTTAGCAGGCCTTAATGAAGGACCACAAGCTCATCGAAGAAGACTTTGGAGCACGTAATGTTCTTGAGTTGTTGTAATGGGGAACTCCAAGGACTGCTGCTGTCAATTATGACAGGCATCTACAATAATCCCTACGAGCCCTGAAAGGCTATATCATCCCGCAAAGACCTAAGACTACCCATGAAGCTCTAACCGTGGCTCTCCAAAAAACCCACACGTACCGTTTTCACCTAAATAACCCTTTTCAGGCATCCTTTAAGGTTACTACCCTAAACCCTATAAACCCCTTTTTTTAACCCTAGATCACATGAGCTGCCCTCCATCGAGGTCTGGGGACGGGAGAACGCCTTCAGGTCTTTGCCTTGGATGAGGAGAAATGGGCGAAAGCTGTGCCCAGGCGGCAATTTGGGATTGGGGCTTCGTGATAAGGAAACGTTCACATCTAGGGCCTATATGAGAAACAGCAGGGCCGGATTCGTCTGATAGTCCGTGTATAATGACTAACGTGTCGCATAATGAAAGCTCCGCATTTCTTATTAGCTCTCTTTAGCTGCAGCCTAGGTGTCTGGCGTTCTGCCAGAGACGCCCCTCAGCGTCGCCGTTGTGGACAGCGGCGGCTCAATTCAGGCTGGCGAAGTTTCAAATCCGAAAGTTGAAAGCACCAACAGCAGCATTGGGGGATCTGTGCGCGAACCAATAAACAGCTCCTAAGATAAGCCCTAAACCCTAAACCTTTTCTACTATGTATCGTTGCATTTTTCGGGAGCGATATATCCTCTGCTACAGGGCACCCGCTGCGACGATGCTACTGATAGGTCCAACATCTCAGTAGGTATCATGTAGCGATATTTCAACTGTTTAGGGTTTTAGAGTGTAGGGTTATATTTCGGTTTAGACAAGCCTTCAATATTCCAAGTTGATACAGGGCCAGGGAACTTCTCAGGAATCTTGCTTCTTAGATTCTTGAGCGAGGAACCCAGGTACGCAACGTGCAAAGTGACGTTGAGAATTTCGCGGACATTATTTCTCCCTAGGGGTCCATGTACCCAAATAGTACATACCTAGGCCTTCATGTAGTCCCCATATAGGTACTTTGGAGCCAAAGTACATGCTATTTGGGTACATGGACCCTTAGGTTCATGTACCCTGCAGATGGCTGCGGTTTAGGGCTGAGATGTATGTTGCGACATGCCCGCGACAGGTCTGGGATGGCACATCCGGAAAACTGCTTCGTCGATTGCAAAGCCGCTTGGCCAGTTTACGTCTACCACCGACGATTTTTCTGGTGCAGGGTTGAGGGCTGCTTCGTCAGCAGTGATGCACAGTTTTCCTGTCACAGTCGCTCTAAACTACAGACCGATGAATGCAGGCATGCTGTCCAGGCAAGAAGGCCAAATCTGCTGCGCAATCGGTGCCCCCGGGCAGCCCATGCTCAAGCTCAACCTGAACTATACACCGCACAATACCGAAACCGAAACTCTACGCCCTCATGTCATGCCGGAAGATGACATCTCCCCACTTGGTGTCTGCTTTGCCATGTGCCCTGCTGTCATTCTTGCCAGGAGAGCCAATGGGTCCAATGGGAACTGACGCCAGGCTTACATACTGGTCATTTATGTTTTTCCTCGTTGTTAAGTCATTGTCATGGTAAGCTTTAATAAAATATCATTGGTTTCATTGTCTCGAAAATTATGCTACACCCAAACCCTGTGATTCTTGACAGCTCATACCGTCCGCGGTTTTGCAACTAATGAACTCATATGCCTGGACCGATTCTGCCGTTTTGTTACTTCGCGATGACAAGGACGCCTAGAAGGGATTCCACGGTCCCCAAGGCATAGTCAAGAGGTGCAATGGCAATTCCTTAAACCCTAAACCCGAAGCCCTAAACCCTAAACCCTAAGCCTTAAACCCCAAACCCTAAACCCTAAAGTGGAGCCTTGCCTGCTGCGTGCGAGTGTGAGAGTCGAAACCCTAAACCCGAAGCCCTAAACCCTAAACCCATGTTGATGCAGGGACCTTCAGTCCCTGGGATCGAGGTCTTGCTGCACAAGGGTTCAGGGTTTATAAGGTTTAGGGTGTAAGTGTAAGGTTTAGGGTTTGGGGTTTAAGGTTTAAGGTTTCGGGTTTAGGGTTTCAATTGCATCAAGGTCTCAGAGTTTCAGGTTTGGGGTTTGGGTTGTTTGTGTCGCTGTGGCCTTGCAGTACACTGCTCACAGTTGAAAGGAGGTAATGCAGAGGTCTCAAGAAATAATGATGTCACCCCGCCATAGACATATTTCCTGTGTGGCAACACCCTCAAATGCCGAAGTACAACACCTGGACCCTCAGGGCGTCAGGGTTTAGGGTTTAGGGTTTAGGGTTTAGGGTTTAGGGTTTAGTATCGGAGCTTCACTAAGAAGATAAAAATCATCACGAGCATTCAGATTCAAGACACGATGGTCATGTACCTTAATAATGTAGCCTCTACGCTACGCGCCCAAACCCAAGTTAAGTTATTTCATGACAACCGTACTTATACCTACGAAAATACGAAGTGTAGGAACAAATCATTACGACCACGATTACCTGTCGAGTTATGCAGCAGTGTGAATAGTGTAAGACCATGTTCCTTAGGGGTCCCTAAACCATATACCCCCAGAAACCTATTCTGATTATTCAGGCCCCTATGTTAGAAACCCTAAAGCCAAAATCCTACACCCTTAACCCTAAACCCTAAGCCCTAAACCCTAAACCCTAAACCCTAACCCTGAGAAAAGTTCAGGATGTTATCCACGAGCCAGCTTTCTCACCGGACGGCCGACAGCTGAGACCTGGCAGATCTGAGCACCAATAGTATTGGGTGCTTAGGGTTTAGGGTTTAGGGCTTTAAGGGTTGAGGGCTTTAAGGGTTTAGGGCTGTAAGGGTTTAGGGTTTAGGGCTCTAAGGGTTTAGGGTTTAGGGCTCTAAGGGTTTAGGGTTGAGGGCTCTAAGGGTTTAGGGTTTTGGGTGCTTAGGGTTTAGGGTTGAGGGCTTTAAGGGTTTAGGGTTGAGGGCTTTAAGGGTTTAGGGTTTAGGGCTTTAAGGGTTTAGGGTTGAGGGCTTTAAGGGTTTAGGGTTTAGGGCTTTAAGGGTTTAGGGTTGAGGGCTCTAAGGGTTTAGGGTTTAGGGCTTTAAGGGTTCAAGGGTTTAGGGTTTAGGGTTTACGGCTTTGGGCTTAGGGTTTAGGGTTCAGGGCTTTAAGGGTTTAGGGTTTAGGGCTTTAAGGGTTTACATAGGGCTTTGGGTTTAGGGTTTGCGGTAGAGGGTTTAGGGTTGAGGGAACTGTCAGGGTTTAGGTCTATACTTAAAGCTTAGGGTTTAGGGTCAGGCCTTCGGCGTTGCCTTTTTGTATAAGGCTATTTGGGGTTTCGGATCTAGGGGTTGATATTCCGAAGTGCTTCAAGCAATGCAAGCTTCGGTCCGGCAAGCTTCTTGTTATGAGAGCTTGGGGTAGAGCAACTCATGGCATGGCCATGACGGGCACCACGTTGTTTATCATCACCGCCGCCGGTTCACAATTTTGCCTTCTGCCCTCAGCCCTAAAAGCCCGAAAAGCATCTAACAGGCCTGAAGCCTGCAACGCTAGACCTTAGACCTGAAGTCCGCCTTTGACCTTCACTCGCGTGCTTACCAGCACGATCTGACAGTTGTGCTTCAGAGTGTGGGGTTTAGGGTGTAGGGTTTAGGGTTTAGGCATTGGGGTGTAGAGTGTTGGGGTTTGGGGATTGCACACCGCACAGCATCCGTTGCCTCCCCGATTGGGCACGCCAAGTCGACGTCGGTTTTTTTGGTCCCACCCGGACCCACCAAATTTGGAGCCGTGCGACTCCAACCCTCGAACCAGCTACGTAGCTACACCTTGCAGGGTTTAGTTTCCTGGACTCAAACGCCCGCAAATGGATATATATATATATATATACGTGTATACAAACAAACTATAATATGTCCGCATGGTGCAGAAAGGTACAATGACCTTCCTGAAGGTTTAAGTCTTGCGCAGCAAGTATACCCTTCTCGAAGCTTTAGTCATGCCTAGCAACATGTATCATACGTGCAGTGCTCACAGGCTGAAATGTGACAAGACCTGAGACTTGCGAAGCGTGCCGAATTCTAACACTGGGAGAATGGAGGCGAAAGCTGCGGTCGGGGAAGTCAACAAAACAACATAAATTAACAAGGTCAAGGTTTGCCCCCCCCCCCCCCTCTGTTAGGGTTTAGGGTTTAGGGTTTGCCCTCTCTCTCTCCCCTCCCCCGCGCACCCGCATGTGTTGGGTTTCGGGTTCAGGGTGTAGGAGGGCTTAAAGTGCTCCACAGTCCGTGTTGAAAAAGGAGGGCTAAATGGGTTAACTTTTACGATGTCTAGGATTTAAGATTCAGGTTTTGGATGTAGGGCTTGGGGCTTGGAATTTGGGTTCAAGGCCGATTGCAGTTTAGTAGTTCAGGGTTTGCACTGGATTTTGGGGAGCTAAGGATAAAGGCTTTCGGTTTGGGATTTGTGGTTTAGGGTTTAAGGTTTAGGGTTTGAGGGTAATTTAGGGTTGGGATATGGGATTTAGGTAAACCTATGTGGGGCTTGCACAGGATTTTGGGATTTAAGGTGTCAAGGGCTAAAGTTTTGGGTTGGGGTTAGGCGACCCCCTGAACATGCCCGCTGAAAAAACTTTCCACGGATAAAACCGTGTTTCGCAATAGTCTTGACGCCCTTTATGCGTATAGGTCCTAAGGTCCTATCCCTTACCTAAATTCCGATATCGAAAACCGGACAACGTACAAATTACTCCAACCGCAAACCCCCCACCTCGTTCCTGAGGATTGTTCCTTGCCAGAGGGGACCGGCCAATCTGTGGGACCTCCAGACGGGGGAGTGCCTCCTGACTGGGTTTAGGGTTTGGGGTTTAGGGTTTAGTGTTGACTCCTCAGCAGTACCCACAAAAGTCCAAACCCCGTACAGTAAGGTTTGAGCGGGTGTTGACAGGATTTTTTGGGATTAGTGAGGCCCCTAAACCCTAGACCCGTAAACAAACATGGAATTTATGGTTTGTTCATTAATTCCGAAGCTTGACGTCTCTGCCCTTTCCCCCTATTCGGTGCAATCGGCTTTCTGGATAGCTGTATTCTATGTAAAGGTGTTTTTATATCCAACTGGGCTCCCCCAGTTTCGTGTGGAAAACAAGATTTCATAAGGGTTTAGGGTTTAGGGCTAAGGACGTGCAAGAGCCGCGGTGTTAGGGTGCGTTTAGCATTTTTGGGCTTGGACTTCTCGCGGCGATCTCGGATTACCTAGCTCTCCAGTAGTGCCTTGTTTTCCGGTTTTGGTCTTGGGCACTCTTGTCAAGGCTCAGCACTAAACTATGGGAACAAAACCCTAAACCCTAAACCCTGAACTGGCTACGGCTCGAGACTCGAGACACTAGTATGGGCACAACCTAGTCCCGATCCAACATGACAGCCTTTCGCTTCGTACAACCAGGACATCTATCGTGGTTCCGGCCGTTACAACCGCTGGAACTGCATGAAACCCTGGAAGCGATACCGGTGGACTTTGCGATATGCCTAGCTACACGCTTTAGGTGGTTGTTAGTGCATAGCCGACTTTCATGGCGCGAATTTGTATGGAGATCCCACACCCTCGACGACTATGTAGACTGTTTGGAAAGGGTCGTCATTGGCTTTCAGAATAGGAACGACGAGGGAAGTAGTCCACTCCTTCTCTCTGATGACGATAATGATTTCATTGAGTTCCTACTCATGGATCTATGGGGGCGATTTGATGCGTCTTCTGAAGCTTTGGTGTGGGAAGTGTTCGGTTGTCACCTACCTTGCTTCCAGATTCTGTTACAGCAAGCAACATGCCCGCGCAGGTGTGAATAAGCGAGGAGGGAGGAGAAACACACACAACGCAGCGCCCCTGATGCATGATGATGAGATGACGTCTGCTGCTGCTGCCTGCTATCAGGGTAATACGCTGTGTGTTGATTGTTCTGAGCCGGACACCCACTCCATCTCCGTTTCACCACATGACCTTTGGACTGGCACGACCCCCGGTGGCGGTCACTGAAGGGCTGGAACCAGAGACGCTAGCGCGCTTGCTGCACCGCTTGTCAGTGGACGAAGCTGACTACATCGCCGGACACACCAGCCGACTGGTCAATGGCATAATTTATTACAACGACGAATTCACATCCAGGCCGAGAATTGAGAACTACATGGAAGATATCCTGGAAGTTTGCAAGCTTTTTCAGAGAAGCGATACACGCCCTGCCCCTCATCCGCTGATATTGGGAATTCAGAAAACAGTGCATATACAGCTGCTGATCCGACTTTGGTTACTGTCAGCTGGCGAAGAATTGGAAGCTGCAAGTATAGAGCACGACGATACATGACATTGAACAAGTGACTTTGCATGCCACATAGAATTCGCTGCGAGAAGATGAAGCTGTAACACCCTGAGCCAATGAATTCCACTGGGATCCACCTGCATGGTTATGAGTTTGCAAGATGTTTGCAAGTCAAGAAGTTTTACGTTTTCTGCATGCCGTGGACCTGCCGGATGACGACACTATCGGGCAGAACCTCATGACTCTACTGCACGAAGTGGCTTGTGACTGCATGGTAAAAGTGACATGGAATTCAACAACAGAGTTTCTGACTTGTGGAAGAGGCTGGTGGAGCCACTACAACTGGACAAGACAAGGGGCTCAAACCCTGAAGCAATGCAAAGTGAGAATTCAATGCACGAGAGGCTCTGATCTACATGGCATGAGGTCCCTGGAATGCGAAAGGTCCAGACATATACGGCGGTGATGCACGGGCTGGCATATGCATGTTCACGAGTCTGCATGGACTGAGAGTGGCTGGTTGAGGAAGTGATGCTGAGTAGATGCAAGCTTTTGACATTAGGGAGCAGAACGTAAGATGAAACAAGTTTCACGGATCCTTCCGAGCCGAACTAGGTCTTGGTTGTCTGTATCGGGTCTAGGCGAGTTGGCTCGCGAAGGAGGCTGTCAAATGGATATTACCTATGCTTGTACACGTGCTGTTGTCTTGTCGCCTTGTCGCTATCCTATTTGACAGCGAGCCTCCAAGTGAAACCTACTTTGGGGCGTCTGTTAACGCATCTTGAAGACAGTATCGTGGTGAACCTTGCCAGGCTTGTCCGAGTGTGAGTGTCAAAAAAAACCCTGAACCCTAAACCCTAAACCCCGAACCGTATATTCTTGAACAAGCGCTGAGTATCTTCCCTGGCATGAGTAAGAAAGACCCAGAGAGCCCGATAGCCCTGAAATGAGGAATAGACCTTAAATCATAAGGGGCTTGAATATTTATGGTTTAAGGTATATTCCTTAATTATGGGGTTTTGCATTGGGCTCTTTCTTCGGACGTGTTCACCGGGTTGCTAAGGGGCAGCTAAGGTCTGCAAGTGCTCCAAATGGATTGGACTTGCAACAGTGCCTGGGCAGCGCTTGTGAGAGGTTGACAACATTTCCGATAATTTTCTACGGAAGGCTTAAAGCTTGTCTATTGTCTGTATATGCAAGGAGTGTTAGGTTTTTTATTTCTTAATCAGGTGTTGGCGAGCTGTCCTGGTAGAAGAGTCTGCCAGGAATGTTCGGTTTGTGTTACGTTCAAGGCTTTCGTTCTCAACTTAAGCCCTAAACCCCCACTGTCGGTGCGAATATTTAGGAGTACCTTCAGAGTTGGGCTTGTGGGACGAGCTGCACATGCTACGGGGGTAAGGCCGCAACATGACACAGCTATCATTCTTCCTTCAGATTTCAAGAATGCTTGAAGCTTCTGAAACGGGTGAGGGTTGAGGGGCTTAGGTTCATGGTTCAGGTTTCTGCAGGAAAGGTTGACCTGATGTTTCGGGGCGTTTAGGGCTCTACCCCTCACCCTCCTCAATGGGTCCTGTCACTGGATCTAGGCAAACTGCGTCACATAGCACCCTGCACAAGGTACTTAGGGGCAAACCCTAGAAACCCCCTGTTTATATGTCACAAGGCGTCTACACTGCGTAAACCGTACAATCCTTATAAGCCCTACAAGCCCTAACAGCCTATAAGTCCACAAGCCTTCTAAACCCGAAAAGCCCTAATCCTAAATCTTGTATGGCCTAAAAAGCCTAACCCTAAGCCTAGTTCGAATTTTACCTCAACCCCTGAACCCTTAAACCCCTGAGCCCTAACCCCCACACCCTAAACCCTATAGCCCTACTAAACCCCTAACCTCAACCCTAAACCCCTAAACCCTGAAGCCCAACTAAATCATAGCCGGCCATCGTCATTCTGCTTCGATTGGCGTGCTGCTTGGATTCAGGGTTCTGCTTGGGTTGGTGGGAACTTTGACATAGCCTCAGCTGTGAGTGCCCAAAACTGTGTTTAACTTGTGCTCCGTTCTTTGCCGGGTTGGTGGAAGGTGATTATTCGCGAGCATTATGACTGGGTGCTGCGGGATGATTATATGAGGGAAGAGAATCGCCGCAGGGATCTCGATCTTTTCCAGATTTACAGCGGGGATGGTCATGATCTTGTGCTCCCGGAAATGCAGCAGGAATCTCAGCTGCATCTAATTTGGGGTTTAGAAGGAATGACCAAACATTCGTGGTTTTGTCAGATTGGCGGGCTGAAAGCCCTGGGCATGGCTGAAGATTGGTCTGAGAATGCCAGGTTGAGTCGGTGCAACCTGGCACGCATCCGTTACTAGCGGCACTGTTGGGAGAAGTGGGATCGGGAATGATGCTTTGCGGAGAAAGCCGAGGTATCGGCTATATCCTTCGATTGAAGATTGGAGGCCTTCGATGGGGTTCGCCGAAGACTTCGGGGAGCCAGAGCCCAGATTGGAGTTTGCAGGTTGGTTCGTGCGGGTTGGGTGCGGCTAATTTCTTGGGCTCCGCGAGGGCTTTCAGGCGGGGGCTTTGAAAGACTGTTTTGGGATGCTACGGACCAAACAGAAGGGTTTCCGCTCTTGACGTAGAGGACGGTCGGGCTCACTTCCACAGACCATAAAAAGGGGTTCCGGGGATTCGGGGCTTGAGTCGCGGCCAGGGCAACGTTCTGCTTCGATTTTGATGCTGCTTCAGTCCGCACCATGGAATCGGGTGGTTCTGCTTCCGTTCATGATTCTGCTTGGACAATGACGCGCTTTAACCGTTGGAGCGCGGAACCGGCGAAGCGGAATCATCTAATGGCAAATCCTGTTTTCGGAGAAGCATCGCAAAAGGAGAGCCATTAGATGGTTCTGCTTCAATGATTCCACTTCGACGATCTGTCGCTGTCAACGTAGTACTACATAGTTCGTGCGCTTTAACCCTACCCCGCTGTCGCCCTAAAACCCACCCAAGTGGAACCATTGCCAGGCGGTTGGGGGACGTCCGGGGGCAGACCTCGACGTAGTCATGGAGGCCTGGCTCAAAGAGAAGATAAAGGCTTGCAGCCAGTCCCGCGGTCGCAGGGACGTGCCGGGGCCGGGCTGGGTTCTGCTTCGAAATGCATGATTCTGCTTCGATCTGAGTTTGGCCCTTTGCACTTAGGACGAGTGATCCTGCGGCAAAAGCCAAACTCAAAGAGCAGTTCATGGAGAAGATGAACATCATTCGTACGAGGATAGAGACCGGGGCCAACATCAGCCCGAGCTGCCCAGCTCCAGATCCGAAGCAGTGGGAGGCTGGTACCGGGGCAGCGAAATTGTCTCCTCTCAGCAGCCCTGTTTTGTGCTGCTGCTTTAAATTGTCCTCCCCTGTCCAGGAGCTTTTGGATCAACACCGAGCGGCAGCTGCCGCGACAGGGCTGCCAATTCGACCTGCTGAGTCGGATTTTCTTCCAGCTCTGCCGGGACCTGATGCTCCAGATCCGAGACAGTTGGAAACTGAAGCTGTGCCAGCTTCCTCCAGTTCCGCACTGTCAAGAAGCACGACGTACTACGTGAGGACTTTTTCGGGAGCTCAAGGGGTCCTTCAGGTTCACGAGGTGCTGTCCTGAGCTTGGTATTAGATCCTCCTTTTCAGTTTTTCAGTCATGTTTCTCGTGCCTTGCCTGCAGGTGCCTGATGCCCTTGAGATTTCTTGCGGATACAAGCTGCTCTTCAGAACGGAGGAGATTTGGCCACTGCTCGGCAGAAGCCAGAGTTTTGCCAACTGGCACTGTAAGCTGTCGCATGGCCACATGATACACCGACTGAGAGCAGATGCCCAGGAAAGACAATGTGACGCAACAGATCAGCGATGCCTGGAAGGTGGACTACACCTGCCACCTCTTCCGACCGACGCACTACAAGGGGTCGCGGCTCGAAGGGGTGCCGACTCCTGTGAAGCTCAACTTCAATTCCATGACCTTCCCGGGCTTCCTTTTCACAGCCTCTTAGGCTGCAAGGATTACACCTGCCGCACGACCCAGTTAGCGCATGCTTGCAGAGTAAGCCACGTGTGCGACGAGGTAGCCTCCGTCCTGCAGATACGCTCCTGTCGGCCGGAACACCAAAAAGCGGCTATGAAGGTTCTAGAACTCTTCGTGGCACTTTTGCCCGCCCGACTTCTCTTTGCACTTGCTGCCCTCGGTTGAAGCTAGTGCTCTGGCTGGACGGCAGTTCTTTTTTCTGTGGCCATCTCACACTATGTGGTTCTTGCCTCGCTGCTGCAGGCAAGCTTTGCTTCCACGGGCACGACGTGGACTTGGAGCAGTGGTCTCGCACCCTGGACTTGTGCGGGTGGACGGCAAGGCCTGGTGCAGCTTCGTCCGTTACTGCAGCTGAATTTCACCACCTGTCCAGGTGGGAGAAGTCCAGGCTCTTGAGCCCAGCCATGCAAGAGTTGCAGACACGCTCGGCTGCCGCACAGCAGTTGAAGGGACGCTTGGACCTGCAGCTAGCCGGCGATGAGGTGTCAAGGGAGCCGTGATACTGTGCTTCATTCTTCGCATGCCATTCGAGGAGAAGGTCTACGAGGACGGGCGGGATGGTTCCTCAGCCCCACAATCAAGCCTCGCAGCATCTGATTGCAGGGCCGGGTCTCCGTCTCTCGGATTCAGAGAAGGCTGATTCATGGCATATGCCAAATGGCGGTTTCCCTGCCTGGGCCTGCAATGGAGGATGAGTTTCATCCTTTGAATAAGCCGCTCGGCACGTTTTCGACAGAACAGGTCGGTGTCGCATCCCTGCCCTAGCCTCTTCTATGAACATTTTTTATGTTGGATCAGAGGAGTGGAGACGGAAGTGGTGTTTTTTTTTGCTGTGGCCCCGCCGGGTCTTTTTAGACCCAATGTAGTACACCAGACATTTTTTGTTATTGGCTCGCC